CGACGGCATCCACATGATCAGTGATGACATCTACATGATCAGCGACGACATCCACATGATCAGTGATGACATCCACATGATAAGCGATGGCACCAACATGATCAGTGATGGCACCCACATGATAAGTGATGGCATCCACATGATCAGTGATGACACCCACATGATAAGCGACGGCATCCACATGATCAGTGATGACACCCACATGATAAGCGATGGCATCCACATGATCAGTGATGACATCCACATGATAAGCGATTGTATGCACATGATCAGTGATGACATCCACATGATAAGCGATGGCATCCACATGATCAGTGATGATATCCACATAAACAGCACATGATTCAAGATAATTAACAAGATCACACGATCAACGAAATCCACACGATCCGCAATGACATCCACATGATAAGCGATTGCATCTACATGATCAGTGATGACATCTACATGATCAGTGATGAAATCCACATGATAAGCGACGGCATCCACATGATCAGTGATGACATCTACATGATCAGCGACGACATCCACATGATCAGTGATGACATCCACATGATAAGCGATGGCACCAACATGATCAGTGATGGCACCCACATGATAAGTGATGGCATCCACATGATCAGTGATGACACCCACATGATAAGCGATGGCATCCACATGATCAGTGATGACATCCACATGATAAGCGATGGCATCCACATGATCAGTGATGACATCCACATGATAAGCGATTGTATGCACATGATCAGTGATGACATCCACATGATAAGCGATGGCATCCACATGATCAGTGATGACATCCACATGATAAGCGATTGTATGCACATGATCACTGATGACATCCACATGATAAGCAATTGTATGCACATGATCAGTGATGACATCCACATGATAAGCGATGACATCCACATGATCAGTTATGATATCCACATAAACAGCACATGATTCAAGATCATTAACAAGATCACACGATCAACGAAATCCACACGATCAGCAATGACATCGACATGAACAGTGACGACATCCACATTATCAGTGATGACATCCAAGTGATCGGACATCCGCATGATTAACAATTAATGGTCAAAAATCACAGATTCATTCTTTTTCAGTGAGAAAAACGTTCACCGTTGAGGAAATCCTTGAGAAGTTTTCATTACCACAGAAGATACGAATGGATAAGCAAGACCTATCAATCAGCATCGATGGAACTGAAAAAATGGGGTACAGCTTTGGGAACCTGACTCTTTTACGAAGTCACGATATCACTTATTTAGGCGGTAATTCTATGACTCTAGGTAAGAATGCATACTAGTATTAACTATCTGTAAAGTGAAGCAAAACGATGTACAAAGCTAGAGGAACAATAAATGGAAGTCTAAATCTTTTTTTTTTATAAGAATGTACTGTATAATATGAACAATTATTTACATTTTCTGATTTTATGCGTAAATCCCAGTGACATGAAATTACTTTGTCGAATGAAATGAGAGTAGACACCGTCGCATTAATTAATTGCTAACAACCTGAATAGTAGATTAGATGCTGTCTATTATCGTAAAACTTTGAAAAATCCTCCAAAGTCTACGAATAATATACTAGTCTGGAGGGCTGTGAGTGGGCCTCATGTAAGGTTCGGTCTGCGCATGCGAGTTCCCATGGTAATGCATCGAAGTCATAGAGACAGCCAATCAGCAATAGCACAGAATTCTGTGCTGTCTACGTATTTATGCACCGGCTATTGTTGAGTACACTGGGAAGGGCACTCTGAATGGCTGGGAAAAAAAGCTACTTGAATAGAAAATAGCAAATAGCCATCAAGATCTCGCTAGTTGGGAGCGAGAAGGCCGCGGGACTTGTTCTGTCCCCAAATAGTATTCCGTTCTTTCTCATCAACACGTCCACAGTTTTCCTGATCTATGTGGACATACTATTTGGAGGAGTAGACATGGTGGTATGAGTGGGTGATATGATATGATACGAACACTATTTGAGGGGCAGACACAAGTCTCGTGGCTCTTTCGAGATCTCGGCGGCCATTTACAACTAAGGTATATTGGATTTCACGGATATCGAATTGTAAGCTCATGACAAAACAGGGTTGGCTATTGTTCATGCTGATTGATACTGATAATGCTGATGATGTTTTGGTATTGTTGTTGCTGTTGATATAGCAACCATGGGAAACCATTTTGTTTTGTACATACACTATTTATCTTCGAATCTACAGAGTGAGGGTGCTTGATAAATTCTAAATGCAGATGATTTTGTATCGAAATATATTGCATTACGACCACTTGACATGAATAAATGAATTTAATTTACGTCTGCAGACAGCATCAGCAAAATGCCATTGATTCTACCGATGTATATCTTGGCCGAGGTGGCTGTCGCTGAGGGATTGGTGGGTGGAACCAAGACACAGTGGAAAGAGTGGAAGTTTCGGAGAACCCAATTCGTTGAATCAAATGTCGATTTCACACACGACGTTGGACAAAATGGTAAGCTGCATTATCAGGCATTACACTTCGATAATATATATATAGTTAGGGGGTCATTGAAGGGAGTGATTGTTTTCACTGCCTTCTCCCGTAATATGGCTTCCTATTATTGTGAGAGTCAATATTTTGAATGGCAGAGATGCGGACAGAAAAGGGATACGATGAGGGCACACAACATACACGTCATAATAAGCGATGAAGATTTCATTTCATGTGAGTCCCACACGCTTCTTAATCAGACTTATCTTAAAATAATCACATCATTAAAAGCAGTCTACTGAAGTATGTCTTGGGGCCAATTGCTGTTATGGTCATGTCAGTAAGAACCAATCAGTGAACAGAGGCTTACGCACATGTGAAGTTTATAAACACAGTGTTAATTATTATAAATTGTGAATATAAATATTAAATGTCAATGTCCAAGTAACAATATTTGGGTACTTTATCGCCACAGACATCTCCATATATGGCACGAACGAAGTGAAAGAAAAGAAGGCGGATGGGCAAGACATATACGAAGAAATTGAACCCAAAATGCAAGTGCGAATTCGTAGTAGAAACGATTATGAAACCCTTCCCAATTTATCCGAAACACAAGGCGAGTATCATACACTTGATGAGTACGACTTTGCGAAAAAAACAGAACCGCCGGTAGACACACACAAACAGACGGATGCCCAGACAGACACGCGCCCTCCTTTGACAACGCAGGTGTCGTTTGACTCATTAAATTACGCAGGATTAGGCAAACCAGAGACACAGTCGCCTTATCAGGAACTTGTACCTGGTATGAAGCCTTCTATGTATAAGAGAATGTCCCTCCCGTCAAAGCTTCCCCCAAATGCAGTAGAGCTAGTATCACCAGCTGCAACAGAACAAGTGCTGCCTCAGTCCAAACCTTTATTACCACCGCCTGATTATGCCACGAAGGATGTAGCCCCTGCTCGCCCCGAGAAACCGGTGCCGGCGAAAAAACCGCTTCCCGCTCGAAAACCTGAGTCTGCTACACAAAATGCCACATCCAGCAAGACAACGTTTCCCGATAATCTACATGGAATCTCAGTAGCGGAAGTTTGCGAGTGCTTAGAATCATTGCAAATGAGTCAGTACGTGAAAACATTCAAAGAAAATACAATTGATGGAGACATTCTTTGCTCGTTGGATACTTCGCTATTGACCGGGGATCTAGGAATGTCGGCGTTCCACGCACTTAAGCTAAACAAGTTTATCAGCGGCTGGAGACCTAAGATCGAGTAAGTCAAGTACAAACAAATGTGTTCAAAGTAAATACTAAGTACTCCTAGACATTTGATATTTTGAATTATTCAGAATAGTTCGTAACTTTAATATAAAAAAAAATACCAAGTGTAAAACTCACTATATTTGCTATAATTGATGAGTTTAGTACTGTCATAGAACCAGAAAGGTCTATGTATTTTTTTAGTTTCGTATTGATGTGTATATACGTATCTATCCGAGCGGATTCATTTATTTGGACATATCGTGAATTCTTTACTATTTTTAAATTCAATAATAAAATTTTATTGTAAATCGCGCGATAAAATGTCCTTTGATGTACATTACAGATAACATTTACCAACTGCAACTTCATTTGCATATGAAACAAAGTTTGTGTTGATTTTTTCTTAAAGTAGAATATCAGTTCTGCCAAGTGTGTTTAATTCAACATGCCACTGTTTTATTATCTTGAAATATTAATGAGTGAATCAATATAAATAACATAAACCATTGAACGAGGCATGAAAAAAAATACTAACGTCTCAAAGTATATATCTGTTTAATTTAGTTTCTTTTTTAAAAAAATCGACGAAATTAACTATTAGGCTAACTTTTGTTTGTTTGTCGAGTTTGTTCAATTCCCAATATTACAATATTTTTTATGGGAATATTTCAATTAATTTAAAAAAAAATCCCATTTATTTTAAACGCGGCTGAATGAAGTGGATGATGATAAACACTTCATAATGTTATGTACACGTTATAGCTTACAGTGGAATATCTTACTAGAAGAGGCTACAAAACCATTTTATGAACTTATTAAACAATCGTAGTAAGTTGATTATTGTAATGAAAAGCAAAAACACCCATATATCACTGGCAAAATTGATTAAAAACAGTTTCCTTAAAAGGCAGCAACACCTCCTTCCAAATTAACTATTTTTTTAATTGTTCTTTTTGCTTATGGAGATATGTCTTCACTTATGTATCTTTATTTGTATTTTTTGCAATTATTGTTCGTATATTGATGTGACTATTGTTTTCTTTGTTATGTAACAGTTTTCATTCCTTCCGAGGAGTTCAAGGCGTTCTTTAATAAATTGAAATATACTAAAAATGGACATTGCTTTTAATGTTGGTATCTGTACTATCAATCGAAGCTGTTGAATTATCTCCCCAAAGTAAGCAATTGCCATGAGCCATGCATAATGCGCATATGAAAATGTACATATATTCTCTACGTTCGTTGAAGCCCACCATCACGGACTATTTTCCAGTGCCACATATAGTCTAGAAATTTAAATCGTTCAAGGGTTGAACACGAACACATCACTATGTCAAGTGTGACACATTAAAATGAAATAATTGTGAGGATATACAAGTTTAGATAAGAAAATCAATAAGCAGTGTTCTTATATAAATTTTTGCACGTTATGCATTTTCCTCAATTTTGGACCAAGAGATTTTAATTTGTCATTTACCTATCGGACAGACCACCAAGTTCAGCGAGAGACAGCTAACTGGCGTAGATTACACATGACAATATTAAATCTTAAAACAGTCAGAAAGTGAATGAACAAACGTGTAATAATACTCATTACAAAAGGTAGTGATATATTACAAAAAATGTCCCCACTGATAATGCCCGGTTAGAGCTAACGTTTAGAACTTACTGTTTTTGGCGAGCATCAGTGAAAGATCAAATACAGGTATTCTACATTCTCGATTTACATGTCTCCAAAAGTTATTTTCCATATGACGCCATTGTTTAGTGCAACGTTTGGTGAGGCTCCAATATGGCCGCCGGTACCAACGTTTGAAATAACACGCGTGCATAGTACATGTAATATGTTATTGTGTTACGTCATGTTTATTTGTCCCAATTCATTTAAAGAGTAAGACAACAACAAAACCATGGTTCACGTCGCAAAAATATTTTTTATCGTAGAATAGATAAAAAAAACGAAGGTCCAAATTGCATAGGGTGTTATAACATGTCAGAACCATTGCTATAAAAATATGTCCAAATTTCCTGAACAAAACGCTTATACGCAATTAAAACTCAATTTGTCAGCTATATTTATATGAACATTTTCATGTTGATCTAAAATGTTGATTTAAATGAGATATTTCTATATCCCTAGTGGCCATTCAAGTTCGGCAGTTTTCACGAAACTCGCGGTGGAATTTTCCAGTAAAGACACAATGTATTCACACGTGTTAGTACGTCAAGTGGGCCCCATATCAAACGCGTCGTGATGATCGCCGCCATTTAATGGCCAATACCCATTTTTTTCATAATACTATAATGATTCAATGTGTATAAACAATTAAACTCGTTTGAGAGAGTTCATCTATCTGGCGTTCAAGAGTAAGGAGTCACACGGGAGTACTCTACTGAAATTACAATCAGCGTGGTTTCTCGCAGTGGATGTGGGGTTACGATTCGTCACTGAGCTATATCCAAAATAAGTAAGACATGCCAGGCTATGCAAACAAATCAATCGCAAGAAACGTACACGTAAGTAATAAACAAGTAGAGTAGTTTATTACGTCAATACAGTACATCCACTGATATACCGCAGAATTTACCAGAAAGTTAGTAATACATGAACAGGAAGGATACAAGCGTTAAACACAAGAACGCGATGAAGACTGGCGCTAAAATAGTTGCGCTTCCTATTTATAGGCTCGGTAGGATATCGAGCCCTAGGCGGGAATGTCCCTAATTTGCTGAAACATTATAGAGCTACGTAATGAAGTGGTGTTTTCTATCACGTTCGCATTTATGTCAACGTAATGTCTATTTATAGATGTGGTTTGAAGCAAAAAATTGAACGTATTTCAAATATGTAAAAAATACTCAAACACAGTATTTGAGAAAACTACGATAATGCAATAAGAAATGTCTTCGAATGATAACAATCAAATGCTTAAAGCGCGGTGGTCGTCGCGCAGCGCGTATTCGAATTTCATGTAAATAAACAATGTATCTTACACGCGTTGTATACTTCGCTATGAGTCCCATATCGAACAGGACGCGGCACGACGACTGCCGCCCTTTAACACGACAGTGGAAGGAAGTGGTCTTCAGTGGTTATGGCCCCTGTAAAAGCCGATATAGTCTCGAAACAGTTTGTGAAAACATAGACTCTAGTCAAACTGTTTATAAAGTTTATCATTTGTTACTTTTGTACACGTAACCGAATATGTAAATGTGCGCTAGAACAGACGACAAGCGGTCACTTCGGACGCCATCCTTGTGTGAACATTTTCAGTCTTGTGGCGTCAATTTCTGTCATTTCCAAATCATTCATTAGAGTTTGCTTGTCTAGTGTTAGAAGCATCTCTCCATCGACGAAATGGTTTCTGAATTTATCTATATAGGATTCGAGGCGAAGTAAAATCATACAGTCTGTGACGTCATCGACGGTGAGCCCTGCCAGCATTGGTGGTATTTCAGACAACGACTTGTACTTTCGCGGCACTGGCATCGCATCATGCCTTTTCGGCTGGATCGATATTTCTGATGAAGTCGATCCAACACGACTTCGACGTTTATTCTGCACCGCTGTTAGCTCAGACATCAGGCCACAGTGCGATATATCTTGGTGTTGTTGGACACTCTGAGCGCTTTTCGCGGAATTTTGCCTTGATATCCCAGAATCAACAGTTTCTCGCGTTTTCGTATAATCAGGCGTGCTCTTGATACGTTCGACATTAACGTTCAGTTGCCGCCCAACAATAACCCCGAGATGCGAGTTGCGTCTAATCATTTGTCGATCAATTGTATCCATATCGTAGTCCGGCGGAGGGATATCAATTGGTGGTTCGCGATACGGTCCAGCGTGTAAGCCGCAAATATCTACGGGTTTTTCGTAGCCATCATCGTTATCTTCATTTGATAACAACGATGCACGGTCCACCTGTCCTCTTACACTAAGTTGAACATACCCACCTTCTGTGGCGGACTTATTTTTTCGCGCTAAACTTTTATCCGGAACGTTATAAGAAAAGTTGTTCGGGTCAATGCCACGAGCTGATGCTGCGGAGAAAGTCGCTGGTCGTGGCTGCTGAATGTCCTGTTTGCGCGGCATGTGATAAATATTGTATTTGCTTCCGATCGGCATTTCTTCCACTTTAGACGGTGAGAGATGTGACGTGGTTGGCACGAAATCAGGTTTAAAACCGCGCATGCTCGGGTGACGCTGTGGCAACGTCGGGGGCAAGCGAACAATGTTTGGTTCCGACGTGCTTTCTGTGAGGTGCATGTGCCCTCTTGATCTAGATTGTATTGTCAGTGTCCCAGATGGTTGGATTTCTTCATAATGGTGTAGTTCTACACTGTCTAAACTACGCTCCGAAAACAGCGAAATATCTACAAAAATAAGAATTATAGAGAATATATGTATTAATTTTAATATTAATAGTTCAATTATTTGGCTGACAAATATCGGAAAACAAAAGCGCAACCAATAAAATCAATGTTTTTTATCACGTGGGAAAGTCAGCCAATGAAAACGCCAATGCAACTCACCGAGACTTCCGGGCGCATGTTTGAAATCCACTTTGTTGCTTACGGTAGTTGAAAGCATCGACTGGTACGATTGCCACATGTCAGGGCTACCAGAAACAAATCCGCATGCCACTGACACGGACAGCTTGCAGTACATCGGTACATTGATAACAGTTCTATCGAGGATATCTGAACAAAGAGAAGAATAGACGCAATAATAATGCACCATATCGCTGATAGCAGGCCAGAATCATATCGGGTTCCTCTCGTCAACACGTACAAACTATTCTTTCTTGACAAAGATACACTATGAGATAATTAAGAAAACTAAGGGGTCAATTTCAATGCACAGTGATTTGGATAACAATCTAAGTAGTCAATGTCAGTACACTGATTTGGATAACAATCTAAGGAGTCGGCAATGTCAGTACACAGTGATTTGGATAACACATTAAGGGGTCAATATCAGTGCACTGCGCTTTGGGTAACACACTAGGGAGTCAATATCAGTACACTGCGTATGGTAACACTCTAAGGAGTCAATGTCAGTACACTGCGTATGATAACACTCTAAGGAGTCAATGTCAGTACACTGCGATTTGGGTAACACACTAAGGAGTCATTGTCAGTTCATGCTGATGTGAAAAAATGGGGTGTATTGTAAATTTACGGTGTCAGTGCAATTGTCAATGTCAATGAACAATACTTTTAAACGCAGCCGAAGTGCACAATGTCATTAAATGATACTAAACAACACAAGGTAAGTGGCAAGTCTTAACATATGCTGATTTACATAGCTAGTAAAAAGTCATGTCAGTCCACGATGTTTTGGATTACAAACTAACCGAACTGAGAAGTTTCAACTTACTATTATTTATTGCGTTTCCTTGTAAATAGCTCTCATCGTAGAGAGTTTTGAGAGTCAGTTTGCCGAAATTCTCATCCAATTTCACACTATTATCGATATACTGGACGCTGAATACCAAATCGTTCTGTGAAGAAAATTGCACATCGACTGGCAGTAGATGATGTTCTACTATGTCCCACATGTACTTGGCATCGCCCTCTGTGACGAAAAAAACAACACATTGATATAAATAAGTTATTTTATTAGAAGAATCACAGCATTTCCTATGCACAAACATTTTTCGTGTTATTTTATTCAATTTCTCTTCCAATTTTGTAACAAATAGATATAATTTCCCACTGTAAACAATTGTTAATCAACATACATGTATTTAAAAAAAAAAAAAAAAAAATGGAGCGAAAGATGGATAGATGACGAAGTGGTTATGTCATAACAATATTCCCTGCCATATTCCATATTAAATCAAGATGGCGTTACCTGGTTTTCCATTAGTGAACACATCGAATTTGCTAAATCGAAATTTGACGGGAATGCTCAGATGACGCCCTCTACGGTCAACTGCCACCACTCTCGGCTGACTCTGAACACGATGTATTCGAAGTACCTACAGCAAATATGAAACAACCATAAATAGAATTTATATAATTATTTTGACGAAGAGATACGGATATATTGGAAAGATGGGTGCGTAAAGTGTCCATTCCAACGAACTAACGGACGATTGCCGATTTTCGGGACATCCTAAGACATATAGGTAGCAGAAATTCAGTCAGAGGTAACGTGGATAACCGAGTATTTTTGAAAATGTTTAAATAATTCTATTATATAATTTAGAAAATAATAAAACAGGATTTGTCAGTATGTCAGTATTCGTTAGATGCACATTCACTTCAAATCTAAATCGCGAGCATGCGCATCCGATCGTGAAAACTGCTTTCTCAATTGTTTTCATTTTACGATAAATCGAGTTTATTGTTTTTTTAATTCAAAATAAAATAGCTCACATAATTATTAAAGCATGCCTCAATACAATCAAGGGTATGCATTGCCTCTAATTTTAATGTATTGGCATCATTCCGACGACTTTTTACATGATGAACTTACCTGTTCATTGGCCAATGACTCATTCTCACTTCTTGCGTAAAACCCCCTCGTAACTTTGACAATTTTAGGGAAAGTGTACTTGTCGGCAAGATCTTTTAACCCATAGGTTATGGCGGACCATCGAATGTCTTCCACTCCGGACATTGTCACTAATTTTCACCTAAGCGAAAGAAACGAAGCTGATATCCGTAAATTGACACATTTCGTAGATCGCCGCCGACGTTCCCCTGATAGTTCTTTTGTTTAATTAAATCGCCAGTCACACGGGCCTCGATGTATATTACAGGTTTATTCGATTACATTCATGTCGAACATGTTGTAAAGTGAATGAAAAAGATGGCGGCGAATTGTCTACACATCGACTCGGAGTAGTATGTCGCATTTCCAACCCAAATTGTGTTAAAGCGGAGGGGTCGCCACCTGCGCACGCGCGGAAATTGATTCCCAAGCGACGATAACAACACGTGAGATGCAGTTTATTTGTGAATTTCAATCAAAAATAGTTTTTTTCATTTTTTATATAGATTTTTTAGAAAATTTGACCAATGAATTCTTATTGGAACACCATTAAAATTGCTGTTTATTTTCTGGTTAAAAATAAAAAACACTCACACGTGGCAATGTTTATGTCCAATTGCCTAATTTGCATGAGTAAGCAAATAACGGACCTTTGATTGACAATATGCATATCGAGATTGTACCGGTCATAGTTCATTCAATTCACGCGCATGTGCAATTATTCTCGAATCAGTTATCGCTCGCTAGCAAACCAACCATTATATTTCCTCAGCGTTTTTTCCTAATTTTTATCATTACATTATGCGTGGTGTGAAAAGAAAGAGAGGTAGAAAGAAGATTCAGATGATTTCTATGTCGGAAGAGGCAAAAGCTACACTGAAGGCATCAGCCTGCCGAACGAAAAACAAAATCGATGTGAGCGTCCAAACGTGACTTTCCCTGAAGGCGTGAATCCGAGTTTCTGATTGACTGAGACATTTTATTTTTAAATAATTATTCTCAAAAAATAAACTGAGCATGTGAAGAATAATTTAACATTGTTTACAGTGATAACAGCTCATTGTCGAAACGCAGCTTACCCATTCACGCTAGTCACAATAAACTCTTGAATAGGCGTCAATGACTACGGTAAAACTTTGTACTTTTCACGGTAAACCATAGGCTCTGAAATACTCGTAGATTATTTATTAAAAATACATCGAAGAGAAGCCATGATGTTTTGATTGTGATAAAAAGTCACCTTCCTAGGACCGCCCCCTGTTTAATAATTCATGAGATGACGTCATGTTTACTGGGCATTGAAACGTGTTTTTACCGACCCCATCAAAACACTGGTATGAATGACGTGTTTCTGATTTAGATATTCAAGAGCAGTTGTTCTGGTCCAACAATTTTACATATAATGTCTATGTCTATACGTTAACTTTCAATTTCAATAGTCTAGAAAGTATGACAAAGCAGTAATTCCCGGTTTAACGCGCAAATATGCAAATTAGCCTTTTTTTCGTCTTCTATTTTTGGTGAATTCTTGGGTTT